TTTTCGGTGTGCAATAAACGTCTACCCCCCTGTCGTGTCGTTTTTCGCTACATTACGTTGAAACAGACCACAAAACCTTGGAATGGATTGGGTCCTTCAGAGACCCCAGAGGGACGTTGGTGAGATGGACACTGCGTCTACAAGAGTACGACTTCGTGATAAAAAAAATCAGCGAAAAACAATGGAATGGTAGAATTTTATCGCCCAAGCCGTAAGGAGGATTACATGCTGAGCGTCGCCCCCGGTGTGCGTGGTTTAGGGCCTCAGCATGAGCATGGAATATCGGTGCTGAACAACGAAAGGACGCACTCCTGAACATGATGATAACAGCAAGAATGATGTATTAAGCTGCTGCAACTATAAGACAAGGTCAGAAATTCTGGTCGTTCTCGCGGAGCCTGAAAAAGCTGCACGTCATCGAAGCCGGAGTTATGATTTGAACACAAGGGCGAGTTGGTACAATGGCGCTGATGATCCACAGAAATTACTGAAAAATTTTATAAACTCGTCACGAGATGACCCACACCGGGTGCACAAGGACATATAATTTGCTTAGACAGCGATCTTACTGACATATCATGAAAAAGGACCTCGATTCACACCTGCTCAGTGTCAAGGAGCGTCACAAGTTATGTTTTTCATTCCGATCTCTGCCACTGATGCGTTCTAGCCAATCGATGTTATGCGGCCGTTCCCGTTGACAAGACGTAGCAATCAGTATGTAATCGTGATGATCGAACATTTTACTCGATGGATTGAAGCTGCGGCATTTCCGCATCAATGTGGTGACAAGAGAACACATGCCGTGGTTAAACACCTGATGACGAGCCAGGGGATTCCAAATGTCATACTGACAGGTCGGGACCCATGCATTAAAATTAACGAACTGCAGACATGTTTGGAGAAATCGGTCATCAGAAAGATACGAGACACTTTCTACTAACACCAGATAAACGGACAGCGAAGGGGGATATTGAGATGGAGCATTAACACTAATTTCGCTGTCTAACTACGCGTCCGTGCACGCGAGCTCATAGAGATCCCCATTCCAGTAAGTGTACGACCACAAACCTCGACTTCCTGCCGATCTGGAAGTAGGAGTTTGGCCGACCTGCAAGTTACCGATAAGGAAAGCACGGGACAACAAAAAGGTAGCGAACCAAAACCAGAGGGCCACTCTGCAGCGGATAATGAAAAAGTCCATAATCAACATGAGAAAACTGTCCTGAGACTTTCCAATCGGTTCGGAGGCAAAGAACTAAGGTCACCAATATGCAACCGCATGCAGCCGCGGGGAGTGGAAACTTCTTCCGTAGTAGAAGAGACTGTATGTGGTACTCAGTCGACAAGGCCCCGTATACACCATGGCTCGACTGGGAGATAAGTGGCAAATTCATGCTAGTGAATTGAGAAACTGGTATTAAAAAGAAAAAGCAACTCCGTATATATGGAACGACCTCAAAGGTCGGAGAGAGTGAGTGTGAGGTACATTACGGATGGAATATTTTCGAGGGAGAAATGCGGTGTACTACAAATAAGTACAATGAACAAAGATTTATACCGAGTAAAAAACGAGTTGCTTGATATGTCCTGCAGGTTGGTGGGGGTAGAACTACCATATCAAAAAATATGTGTTGTCTGTTTGAGCGTGTATCTAACAGATGCGCAGCTGAATAATAGTAGTGTAATTGGGAATTAAATGCAAGCGACGAGGCAACATGGGGACAGATATAGTTGTACTCCGTGAGAAAAGAACGAGACTATACACTTCTCAGCCGCTTCCTTCGGTTCATGTAACATGTTACACGGTTTGGGGGGATAAGTAATATATTCCAACATAGCACACTTTGGGCAACGAAGTGATGGGAGCCAAGGTTAACAATCAATCGATTTTTGAAAATATCCAAGGTGGGGGAGGGAACAACAAAGTTCGGGAGAGAGTTCCGGAGTTGGCAGACCCGAAGAGAAAAGTAATTCCGCCGGCATTTCAGGCGGCTATACTGTGCACACAATTTCATAGGGTTACCTCTGTGATTAGTGTTATTGCTGAGTTTCAGCAAATGACAGGATACGTGATTAGGGTCACACAATATCTGGTAGACTAATATGAGGCCGCCGCGCAGCCTTCGGTAGCTACCACTGAAAACTCCCAGTGACTTCAACCTTTGACGGTAGGACAGATTTCGTAGGCTCCTGACGTACTTTGTTGCCCTGACTTGGGGTTTCCCTAGCACTTCTAAGTCGCGCTTCAACCAATGTTGCCATATTTGGATGACGTAATCAGCATGAGGGCATACGTAAGTATTGTGCATCATGGGGAAGACGGAAAGGTCGAAGCTTCCGAATGCGCTCCACAGCAAGCTGACGTGCTGGTTGGCTAACTTCGCAGCTGTCTCTGACTGCTTTGAACAGTTGGTCACTTTAATGAGCACACCAAGGTCGCGTTCCTGGAAAGTTGTTTGCGTTGCATGTGACCCAAGCATATACACGTAGTCATGCCTATGGCGCAATTGAACAGCGCGACATTTTTCCACTTTGAACGGTAGTGTATTCTGAACTGACCAGTTTAAAATCGTGTTGAGGTCACGCTGGAGCTTTTGATGGTTGTTCGGTTCTTCGACCGCTTGTCATAACTTAATATCATCCGCGAAGAATAAGAAATCGAAATAAGTTCCCTCGCCAGATCGCTTATGAAAAACATGAATAGACTGGGCCCGAGCACAGTGCCTCCTGGTACGCTGCACTCCACCTCAATTGCGTCAGACAGGAATTCTCGTACTGTCACTTCCAACCCACGTTCGTGCCTGAACTTGCCTATCCAGCGCACCAGTGGGTCACCAAAGCCATAGAGCTGAAGTTTATGGAAGTGAATTCGGTGGTCTAAGCGAGCAAACACTTTTAAGAAGTACAGGTAAATTTCTAGTTGCATCAGCTACGGTCCTCGTGATCGAAAGACCAAGGTTCACTTCAATGGGAATCGCGGTCAACATTGAGATTGCGCGTCGCAATCCATCCACACAACATGTACTTCAAAATGACCCTAAACATCGTAAAGGTAAATTACTTTGACTAATGCTTCACCATCAACTGCTTCAGTCCAGCTATTGCGTGCAATTATCAGGTTCGTAGTGCATGAGCGGTTTTATCGGAAGCCATGTTGCTCGGGTGCTATCATCTTGTGATTTTCCAGATACTGCATGAGTGCATCGGCGATGGTAGACTCCAGAAACTTGGAAAGCATAGTGAATAGCGTTATCAGATGGTAATTGGTTGGGTCAGTGCGACTACCTCCCTTAGGAATAGGAGTGATGACCCTTCGCTTCCATGTTTTTGGAATATGATTCTCCTCTATACAGAGCTGATGGAATATAGCAGGTTCCGCCAAATCACTGGCTGCTGTCTGTAAAGCCTTCTGTTGAATGTTATCCACACAAGGACGTATGTGGATACGCAAGGACAACGCTTGCTTTTACGCAATTATGCGGTTAAATTGATACTGGATAAAGCTGACGGTAAGACAGTAGAAAGATGAAGGAGCAAGGAAATCAGGGAATTTGTTTATCGCCGCGGACGAAGGAGGCGTAATGCACAAATCTATCTCCACCGGTATCTTGTGAATAGAAGGGCGCAGCGGGACGGAGAGTCGGAGTGGTACCAAGAAGGAAGAGTGCAATGGGCCGAAGTTTTATGTTCGTGGGTATACTAGTCCATAAGTCATCTGCATCGCGTTACCTTCTCAACAGCCTTTTGGAAAAAACAAATCGAAGAGTGGTACTTTTTGTGTCCCTGTATGAATTTCTTCAAATATCGAACGGATCGTGCTCGTTACTACTGGTCACGAGACTTCACTGAACTTGTAGGGCGAGAGATTGTCTCTCCTGAAGGGTAAGGATCAACCAGCATAAACAGATCACATGTATGTGGAACCGATGATAGAAATCCCAACCACAAATATGCTGACGCCAATGCAACATATTCTAACGGCTTGTCAAATTGATTCTTGCAAACCTAGAAAATAATACGGGTTTGTGGGTTGCTACTAGGAAACTAACGACGAGCGATGGAACTTAAGAGGCATGCAAAATACGAGAGTACAGCGAACAATGTAGGTGACGGTATCCGATGTCTATGACAGTGAGCTATTATGAGTGCAAGGCAGAGAAGAGACGGCATGGAAAAGCGTTGCGCTCGACTTAAGTGTTCACAAGCGTGATCGGAAATTATCACCACTAGAACAAAGAGACAGTTGCGAGGTACTAAGACAGATAAAATCCCGTGTGCGAAACAGAACCAGTGGCTGTCAGGTTCACTAAAAGCCCAAATGCTAACGGGATTAAAACACTATACAGAGAGCCGATAGAAGCCAATAGACTGGCTGCAATTATTGTCACCCATACGCTGAGTAATTGTTGTGAACGAGATATGGCTTATGAATTAATGTTGTTGCGAACACTAAGTTTACGCATGTAATATAAGTTATTCGTGTTGCAAAGCGGTTAATGAGATTTGCGAAATTATGGTGTAATTGGCTCTGAGGATCATCTCCGCTTGTACTAACATTCCTTCCGTTGTAAAATGGCAGATCATGCATCATGGATTAAACATACAGGGAAACTACATAGGAATGCCACACAAAATAAGATAGAATGATACACAGCAGTTTGCTTCTTTTGCGGATATTATTAGCACATGGAAGCTCAACCTGTTTGGAAAGATATTTGCACCCTAAAGGTATATTTCTCACATTATTAGCGGTAGATGGAGGATAGCAGCCCCATGTCTTCCACACTGCGTGAACGATATTGTCTCAGGTAAAATAGGCATTAATGAGTATTCCGGTAAAATACAGTCCTTTGTTAAAGATAAATGTTAGGCACTGCCTATGCGCACCGCTGCAATTTACGGACAACTTCATTGGACAATCTGTAAGTTTCTTACCACAAGTGATTTGCTTCTCACGGTAATAACCTAAAGTCAAATTTTCCTAATTTCCATTTTAGAGATGTGCCAGTTGAGAGGTGAATTGCGCTTCAGAACGACACATATGGGCAAGAGTTGCACAACGGATTATGACTGCAAACCTGGTTTATGCTGTCTTGGTTCCTTGTACAACGGCCATTGCACTGAAAACTGTGAGCGAATAGACAACATTCAGCCAGTCCCCCCGGTTGGATATTACGGACAGCGGTTTTGGAATATGTGGGCGAGAAATCATCGCGCAGAATAACGAAATATGGGCGGGTTGAGGATGCCCCAAATTTAAAATAAGGGGACTCTCTTTGGTTGTGACTTTCATAACGTTCATTGCAATTCTTCACCACTAGAGTAACAAGAAATATAAAGGTATCATCATCCATCTTATAAGACTTGTGAAGAGCATAACCAATTGGTTTGGTCGACTCAAGCTTCGTGGTTACACCACACAGAATATGTCGTACTCAGCATCTTAGTCAATATTGCTCTAAAGTGCTAGAAAATACTAATCGATTACGTCCGTGAGCCTTCATTCTCGAGGAATATGTTTAAACCACGGAAAAATCGTGTATGGTTGGCTTAGAAGCATACAATTAGCAGGTCCTGCAGTTTGGTTAGTGAGAAACCCACAAAAGCCAAGACTGCATATGTGCATAAAGGGAACCACACATCAAGGAAACAACATCAAGACTGTGGGTTGAAAAGAGCACTGTCAAAATGGGATAGCCCCATACAATGTGTTATCAGTACGCTATGTGCCATTAAATTAACGAGATGGCAGGATATGTAAGACAAGACAAAGAAGTCAATTTACAAACCAGTACTTCTGGATGCGACCGGGTAGAGCAATAAGTTTTCAGATACATAACGAGTTTAACCTTTTACAACAAAATATGTGTTATATTTTCTCGAAGTACTCACCACTGGCGTTCATATACAGTCCCAAGCGCTCAATCCATTTGGAGAAGCAGCTAGACCATGCCGAAGCGGATAACTCTTCAGTCAGATCAATGAAGCCCCCTACTGCAGCTCCTGGAGACTCGTAGCGGATTCCGCGCATAGTGTGCTTGATATTCGAGAACACAAAGTTGTTCCACAGAGCCAAGGCTGGACTATAGGATTGTGACCAACCTCCTAGATTCGTTCTCTAACCAGAAAATCTGCGGCGACATGAGAACTGTGTGTAGGCGTGTTGTCATGGTGGAACTTGGTCCCTGGCGCTCGAGTCCTTGGACCACGCCAAGCCACAAATTCCAGGACTTGTGACAGATAGCGGGTGGCATACCAGTCTCCGGTGACTATGCGTTGCCGTACTAGCGGCTCCGGCGGCTGGGTCACGTGTTGTGCACTCCAGTACATCGAATCCCGCGACGTGCATTCTTTGCGCGCCGGGAGTTCGGTTGGAAGATGAGGATGGGAGGCCAAGCAATGATTTGGTCGAAAGGAATGAAAATTCTCAATTCGAAACTGGCGTCGGTTGGTGCATCCCGACTGCCTGGCTGCGGTCCTAAGGACGGTGAACACGTTTGGTTGAACACACTTGCTGATATGGCTTGGAGCCGGCCCCATTCGCGTTTGTGTTGTGAGTTTCTTTGTCCATCCCCCTCCCTCTAAGTCCTCCAAAAATCCCGATCTCTTGCAAACCGCATAATATAACGTTTAACATCATAATGCACTGTAATTTGTATAAGTTGTAGTGTAATTTTTTAGTCTCTTACCTTTTTGTACTGCGACACTTTAGCTCAGGTGTGTTTCTCACCCACAGCTAACGTGTACTGATGATGTACTAGCGGTACAGTAGCCACATGACAGGCATTGGCCACCAATACAGCCACCATCTGCTTGGCCACACCGCGCACACACCGGAATTTCTGAGGCAGCTCCCCAGCAACGGTCGTCCACTGACGCGATTATTGCTTGGTCTCTGGGTCGTATCTGTATACTCAGGTCTCATCACCACTGAGGATCTCCTAACCAGCCTTGGAATGTCCACCATCCAGCTTGGCAAGCATGGTGCGGCACCGATTCACCCGAACTGCTTTCTGGTCCCCAATGAGCTGATGGGGTACCCAGTGTGCGGAAACGTTTTTGTGACCGAAGTTCTCATGTACAATGGTGCGAAATGATCCCGATAGTCTTCCCCAGCTGTATCACAGTCACTCGCGCGTCCTCCTCCAGTATCGATTGCGCAGCCTTAATGTTGTCCGCGGTGGTGACATGCACAGGTCGACCACACTGTGCATCGTCATACAGGGTCCTCCTGCCACTCTGGAATTCCAAAAACCCCTCAAACAAGGTATTTATAGAAAATGCATCATCACCAAACGCAGCACAAAAATGCTTAAAACAGTGGTGCTGCTTTAAACCACCTTTGTAGTCACAGCAAATCATAGGCCTCCAGGGACATCGAGTGAGTTCTACACTCACATCCAGATTATAGCAAACTTCATGGCCTGTGAGCTGTGCTGGATTGCTGATACATGGTTTCCTCGGTTTAAATCACTGGAAAATGTTCAGTATGGATTGCGGTCCACATTTCTCTTACTGTCTCATCTGCACCTAATCTGTGTACTGTGCATTCGGAAAGTTGTTAATATGCCAACTAGTGGCGCAGGACGCTAATAAGTTTTGGATTGGTGACTGATGGAGTTTGAGATGCGCACCCCAAGCAATGACCGATGGGACGAAACGACAGTCCGGTGTTGCTTCGGATGCGTGGTAGGCTGGCAGCATTGGAAACTAGTTTGACGAACTCCATACAAGATCATAAAAATTCCATCACTCGTATTAGGTTGCCGGTGTATTGAAAATGTACAAAGCACTTCTGATATAAATGGTAGATGGTATCGGCTGCCGGGAGTTATCAGGCACGTAGCCTACGAATAGCCACAGGACGCATGCGCCTACAGAGGGACCATAAGTAGCTCACGCTACATCACCCAATTTACATTCACACACACCACATAACCAGCGTAACCCTTTGGGACTATGGCAGAGAGCCATGAGCGTGGAAGATAATGGATTGCAAACCGGCCCATGTGAAACTGGCTAATTATGCGTACCAGCCGTATACATGGCGGCTGGGCCGTAGCCAATTCCACACCGGATAGATCCACTATTTGAGCCTAACTTTGACACGAGCAGAGTGCACCGCGTCCGCCTAGCAACAATTAGCAGTCTCCCACAGCCAGTGATCGAGGTAGAGGGTTTTCAAAAAGAAGGAACTTACTCAACAGTCACTTCAAGCACAACCACAGCGGGGACATGCATAAACAAACATATGGTTGGCGGCATCTGGTTTCGGATTTGCCTGTCACTGTGGCCAGCCACAGGACTCCTGCGCCTACAGAGGGACCATGGGTGGCTTGCGCTGCACCACTCACAGCTCCAACCACACATTCCATATCCAGTGTAAACCCGAAGGAATAAGACCGGGAGGCATGTGGATGGGAACCATGTTCCATCAACGGAGCCGACCCAAACGCCTTCACAGGCAAACACAAGCAAGCTGTAGTTGGGAATCAAGCGCACACAAGGCGGTGTCTAGACCGTAGTCCGCTCCACACTGAGTGCACGAAACCACGCTTTGATCCTAACATGTCTACAAGGACTGTGCACCCCGTTCCCTACAGCAACGACCAACTGCTTCCTGGAGCCAGTATGGACAAGGTAGTGGGTAATAGACAGGTAAGCACCTTGGCAACATGCACATCAAGCGCAACCACACCTGGGATACTGGGCAACAGCCAATCACTTAAAACAACGATATCAAATTCAAAAAATCGACTAATGCATACTGATATGCCGACATAGCTCTTTAGGAAATGAGCATCTGAAATAAATTGATTGCCAAAATATCCGCTATAGTATCAAGACGTCAGAAAATATATTTTTGAAAAATACCCCAAACGCGAAAATGTTATCAAAGTTACCTAAAGTTAACTTGAGACACGTGTGCAAATTAAAAGAAGATAGTTCAGATAGGTAAAAATGAGATAATATAGCAAAAACAACACCTGAAATAAACTGATCCAGCATGTAAGCAAGCGGTCAGTAAATCGAATGCAGCGTACCTACAAACGCTGCGCCGGTTTTGCCTACGTTCTCTGCAGGACCCGTCGTCGAATCAGTGTTGGCCTCGAGTGATCTCGATCATGGCTCACTAGGCCAGCCTGACTCAGGCACCCGCGACCACATGTGCTACAGCACCATGCGCTCGAAGTCAATGTAGTACAACCCATCGACGCATGCCGCAACCGCACTTGCAGCTTCTTCTCCACATGCATAAGGCCTTTCTCCCGCACTTCGACAACTGCCTTCGTGGTCAGATCGCGCCATGATCGCCGATCAACCGCCTTCGATTCTTATGACCTGCAATCAAGATTAGAACGTGAGATGCTCACATTGATCATGTCCTGGTAACGAAGCTTCACTTTCCTTACATGCCGCTTCCCAATACTTAGTTGACCATATAATAGTTGTTTCAGTATCCCCGTCGAATCCATACGGCTCACATGACCGAGCCACCTCAGGTGTCTTAGCAAAAGTATGCAGTCCACTGCATACATTCCACTTTGACGCAACACTTCCGTGTCCGCAACTCTGTCGCAGTAACCGATGCGCTGAATCCGTCGCAAACCTTGTTGATAGAACCGCTCGAGATTTCGCACATCCCGCCAGTACCTCGTCCACGTTTCACTGCCGTATAGAAGAACGGACAGCACCATGGATTTGTACACCATCAGCTTCGTGCCAATGGTAAGCTGATGGCTGTTCCACACTCGATATCCTAGCTTCCCGAATGCCGCCGCTGCCTTCGACACGCGATTACGCAACTCAACGTGTAGCTGCTGGTCAGTCGACATCACAATCCCAAGGTAGCAGAAGCGGGAGGTGGTTTCCAATACTTCAGTACTAATGCTGAATCGCGGCAATATTGAAGATTGCACCTCCGGTGAAGGCTGAAAGAGACAAACAGTTTTGCTTGTGTTGATGGTGAGCCCGAATTTGGCCGCTGTCGAAGCCAGAGCACTAGTCATGTGCTGCAACTCATCTGCGCAGTGTGCAAACAACGCACAGTCGTTAGTGAACAGCAACATACGGATAGTTGTCTCACAGACTAGAGTTCTCGCACCGAAACGACGGATGTTCAGCAGCCTACCATTAATATGATGCTCAGCACGAACGCCGTAGGCATAAGCGGCATCAAAAGCACAGGACATCCTTGCATGAAGATAAATATTACACAGGGTAGGAGCTATGACACAGCCTTGCTTCACACCAGAGACAACTGCGAAGTCATCCAATGTCTCTCCACTCAGCTGCACCCTCGCCCGCATAT